AAGCAGCATCAGAGGAGCAGGAAAGCTGACGTTTCGGGTCTGGACCCGTCTTCAGAGCCCCCTTCCCCTCCCCCATTTCTGAAGAAGGGTCCAGACCCGAAACGTCAGCTTTCCTGCTCCTCTGAAGCTGCTTGGCCTACTGTGTTCATCCAGCTCTACATCTTGTTATCTCAGATTCTCCAGCATCGGCAGTTCCTACTATCTCTGCAAATATTATGACCCTGTTTCAATAAAGGTTGTAAGGATAGGCTCAGTAATTACAGACCACTGAGTTTAACTTTAGTGGTGGGGAAACTTCTAGAAACAATCATTTTGAATAGAATAAATAGTCACATGGAGAAAGGTAGGTTGATGAGGCACAACCAGCATGGATTTCTAAAGGGGTAATCATGTTTGACTAATTGGAGTTTTCGAAGAGGTAACAGAAAGCATTGATTGAAGTTAATGCCACTGATGTGGTGTATGTGGATTTTCAAAAAGCATTTAATACAATGCCATATAACAAACTTGTGAGAAAAGTTACAGCTCACAGAATAAAAGGCACAGAAATGTGGATACAAAACTGTCTGAGTAATAGGAAACAGAGAGTAATGATCAATGGATATGTTTCAGGCTGGAGAATGGTTTGTACCAGAGTTCCCCAGGCTTGGCATAGGAACCCTTGTTTATCCTGATATATAATAATGATCCAGATCTGGATGTGCAAGGAATAATTTAAAAGTTTATGGATTATACAAAACTTGGAAGCATTGTGAACTGTGAGGAGGACAGCATAGAACTCCAAAAAGGACATGGAGCAATTGTTGAAGTGGGCAGACAAACAGCAGATGAAGGCAATTCAGAGATGTGGAAAAGGCATTTTGGTGGAAGAATATGGACAGACATGTTTTTGCTACCAAAGTGTATAACTTTGAATCGGGGGTCGATGTTTCTATTCAAATAATCAATGTTAAAGGGTACAAGGAAAGGCAGGAAAATGACATAATGTTAGATTACTAATTTGGAGAGGCAGTGCAGACTGGATGGGCCAAATATTTAATATAATAAAGTGAAAGCTTGGACACAAAACTACACAGCAATGCCAACATCTTAGTAACCATTTGTTGTCTACCTTAACTCAGGTGCCAGCTCTCTCTTTTTGAAGATAAACCTGCTCCCCTTTGTTCAACAAAAACATGCATGAACAGCAATTACAATATTTTCCTGATATTCCGCCCCCATTCACCATTAATGATGTGGCTGAATTATCTCCGGGGTTACTGAGATCCTGTGTTTAATGCACCCATACGAGGGAGTGTCTGTGACATAGAGAAAAAAAAACCCAAGCTCCAAATTTCTACCTCCAACTGGAACTCCAGCACTTGGGAATTTGTTTCCCATAATCATAGAGTCATAGAGTCCGACAGCGTGGAGACAGGCCTTTTGGTCCAAACTGGTCCTTGCTGACCACGCTAACCCCATCTCCCTGCAGTTGGCCTATATCCTTCTTAAACCTTTCCTCTCCATGTATTCATCCAAATGTCTTTTAGATGTTGTTAATGTACCCTCCTCAATCACTTTCATTGGTAGCTCATTCCATATGCATATCACCCTCTGTGTAAAAAAGTTGCTCCTCAGGTTTCCATGTATTCTTTTCCCTCTTACATTAAACTGATGTCCTCTAGTCCTCAATTCCCCAACCCTGGGAAAAAGACTGAGTGCGTTCACCCTATCTATACCTTTCATGATCTTATACAATTCTATAAGATCTCCCCCTCAGTGTCCTACACTCTAAAGAAAAAAGTCCTAGCTTGTCCAACCTCTCCCTATAACTCAGTCCCTTGAGTCCTGGCAATATCCTTGTAAATCTCTGCACTCTTTCCAGTTTAATAACATCCTTCCTATAGCAAGGCAACCAAAACTGAACACCATACTCGAAGTGCGGCCTTACCAACGTCCTGTATTGCAACATAACTTCCCAACAGCTATACTCAAATGCCAACAAAAACAGAAATTGCTGGAAAAGCTCAGCAGGTCTGGCAGCATCTGTGAAGAAAAAAACAGAGTTAACGTTTCAGGTCCAGTGACCCTTCCACAGAACTGCCATTGCGATTGAGCTCGAGGTAAGACTGATGACAACCTTGTGTGTACGGTGGTACAATGCATTGTGTAATCACCAAAGTATTAAATAATTAGCAAACACCAACAAAACATTTGTAGTGCAATTAGCATATTTATTACAACAGTACTTCTTAAAATCCCCATCTCATGCCATTTCATCCTCCCCATGACATCTGTCATATGCCATATCCATTCATTCATTTTATTTTTTCTCAATGATCCCCATCTATCCCACCCCTTCTTCCAATGCTCCCCCTCTCTATTCAAAAGATGGTCTCACATCCCCAATTCAGTACGACCCAAGCACATCCCCCCACCCCTTTCCTTTGCTTTCCTACTCCGCATATCCTTCCCCCCAAATAAACTAAGTTTTTATAAACTAATTGCTGAGAAAAGAAGGCGATAGAATTCTGATATTGTGTAGATTCTTACCCCAGGCAATGTCTGTATTGAGTTATTATCCATCCAGAGTTCCTTCAGGCTCTGTAGCTGTTCCAGGACTTCAGGCTAAAGAAACAAATAACTGTGTAAAGCTATTCGTCCATTTGTACGGAGATCAGCATACAGATTGAATCAATACAGCTGGCTGCCACACTGACCTTATTACAACCTAATATAGATCATTTAATTTCCAAGGTAATTGGGATGCTGCTTGCCCTGTAAATATGCCTCCGAATTGGGGGCAATTAAATTAATATGAAAATTTTCTGTATGCATCCTCTGTTGTCCAAACTAATATACTTTTAAATTTTCCAACCTTTTCACTTGACCTTTGATGATTGCACGTTCAGCTATAGTGTTCCAAACCTCTCAAATTTCACATGTTGGTATCTCCAGTTGGCACTCCCTCTGTGTCAGCACAGATTTGCTTAAGCCACCACCTTTTGATGATGCTTTTTGAAACACAGAAATTAGGAGCAGGAGTAGGCCATTTAATTGTTAAGCCTTATTTTTAAGAAAAGGATCCTTGAATATGTCAACGGAAAAAAATAATGGTCAAGATTTTGCTTTTAGAAACTTTTTCTGCAATGATCAACAAAATAAGCATAATTCAAATATTCATGGAGAGAGGAACAGAGGTAGTTTTGCGAGTCCAACATGACTCTTTTTTAGAATTGAAGAAAAAAACTGATGAGCCCATTGAAGCCACCAAACAGGACTACTTGCACGCCAAACAGCGAAAGCAGCAAGTGATAGACAGAGCTAAGTGATCCCACAACCAACGGATCAGATCTAAGCTCTGCAGTCCTGCCACATCTAGTTGTGAATGGTGGTGGACAATTAAACAACTCACTGGAGGAGGAGGCTCCACAAATATCCCCATCTTCAACGACGGAAGAGCCCAGCACATCAGTGCAAAAGACAAGACTGAAGCATTCGCAGCAATCTTCAGCCAGAAGTGCCGAGTGGACGATCCATCTCGGCCTCCTCCAGTGGTCCCCAGCATTACAGATACCAGTCTTCAACCAATTTGATTCACTCCACGTGATATCAAGGAACGGTTGGAGACACTGGATACTGCAAAGGCTACCGGCCCTGACAACATTCCGGCAATAGTACTGAAGACTTGTGCTCCAGAACTTGCTACTCCCCTAGCCAAGCTGTTCCAGTACAGTTACAACGCTAGTAGTTACCTGAAAGTGTGGAAAATTGCCCAAGTATGTCCTGTACACAAAAAGCAGGACAAATCCAACACGACCAATTACCGCCCATCAGTCTACTCTTGATCATCAATAAAGTGATGGGAGGTGTCATCAACAGTGCTATCAAGCAGCACGTGCTCAGCAATAACCTGCTCAGTGACGCCCAGTTTGGGTTCCGCTAGGAGCACTCAACTCCTGACCTCATTACAGCCTTGGTTCAAACATGGACAAAAGAGCTGAATTCCAGAGGTGAGGTGATCGTGACAGCCCTTGATATCAAGGCTGCATTCAACCGAGTGTGGCATCAAGCAGCCAATGGGTATCAGGCGGCAAATGCTCCAGTGGTTGGAGTCATACCTGACACATAGGAGGATGGTTGTGGTTGTGGGAGGTCAATCATCTCAGCTCCAGGACATCTCTGCAGGAGTTCCTCAGGGTAGTGTCCTAGGCCCAACCATCTTCAGCTGCTTCATCAATGACCTTTCCTCCATCGTAAGGTCAGAAGTGGGGATGTTCACCGATGATTACATAATGTTCAGCACCATTCATGACTCCTCAGATACTGAAGCAGTCCATGTTCACATGCAACAAGATCTGGACAATATCCAGGCTTGGGCTGACAAGTGGCAAGTGACATTCACGCCACACAAATGCCAGGCTATGGCCATCACCAATAAGAGACAATCTAATCACCGTCGCTTGACAGTCAATGGTGTTACCATCACTGAATATCCCACTATCAACATCCTGGGGGGTTACCATTGACCAGAAACTCAACTGGACTCACCACATTAACAAAGTGGCTACGAGAGCAGGCCAGAAGCTGGGAATCCTGCTCCTGACTTCTCAAAGCCTATATACCATCTACAAGGCACAAGTCAGGAGTGTGATGGAATATTCCCCACTTGCCTGAATGAGTGCAGCCCCAACAACACTCAAGAAGCTTGACATCATCCAGGACAAAGCAGCCCGTTTGATTAGCACTACATCCACAAGCATTCACTCCCTCCACCACCGATGCTCAGTAGCAGCAGTACGTACTATCTATAAGATGCATTGCAGAAATTCACCAAAGATCCTCAGACAGCACCTCCAAACCCACAACCACTTCCATCTAGAAGGACAAGGCAGCAGATATATGGGAACACCACCACCTCCAAGTTCCTTTCCAAGTCACTCACCATCCTGACTTGGAAATATATTGCCATTCCTTCACTGTCACTGGGTTAAATTCCTGGAATTCCCTCCCTAATAACGTTGTGGGTCAACCCACAGCAAGTGGACTGCAGTGGTTCAAGAAGTCAGCTCGCCACCACCTTCTCAAGGGCACCTAGGGATGGGCAAGAAATGTTGACCAGCCAGCAACACCCACATCCCACAAATGAATAGAAAAAGAAAAATTCTGAAGTATCAGATCGGTCTTGAAACGCTAACTGTTTCTCTCTCCACAGATGCTGCTAGAGCTGTTGAGTTTCTCCAGCATTTTGTTTTCATTTCAGATTTCTAGCATCCACAATATTTCACTTTTATAATTAAAACACTATTTGGAAGAGTTAAAAAAAACTTAAATTCAATAGAACCATGGTCCAAATGTTTCAGTCTCTGGATCATAGGACACCAAACCGGTAAATATATTTCACTTTAATCAATACTACAAACAATACTGGCAGATAAATGGCATCAAACAGCCAAGCAGACTCAAATTTCCTCCCAGATTTCCATGCCAGGTGAAATCTTCAATGGCCTTCAACCGTTGCATTCCATTTGAATTTTCTACATATGATTAACACCAACAAGGGGAGAATCAATAAATCCCATCTGCCTCCAGTCACATCCCAGAGATTTCTCTATTTGATCTCAAGTAAACCTTATGATACAGCCTAGTTGACTCTTATAAAATTGCTCTTTCCACTAAGAGATTTGCTTCTTCCCCTTGTCCCATTTTCTACTGATAGAAAATAATGTTTTTCTGGGAAAGGTTTATTTCTTCTTCCTGAAGATCTGCCTTTATTTTCCACTCTGAGATGCAGCAAAACACCAGCTATAATTCAACATCCTCATTTCCATCCTGTTCTGATGAAATGTTAACTGCTTTCTCCTCACAGATGCTGCCAGACCTGTTGATTTTCACCAGCAATTTTTGCTTTAGTTTCAGATCTCCAGCATTCATAGTTCTTTGTTTTATTTTATTCCAATTAATTGTCTGTCTGCTGTTTCTTTGGATTACTCATATTTTCATAGTAATGTGAACCACATAAGAACAACTCATAAGTCTGATGATAACATTGTCAAGAACAACTTTAACTTAATCTCTCAGAAGTCAAAATAGTTTCAATTTGGATCTATAAGGACTTCCAGTAAAAGAAAATACAGACATTGTGCAAAGTGCTATTTTCATTACAACAAGGTTTCTTCAATAAAACAAAGCACTGCAGATACAAAAAACAGAAATTGCTGTTTCTGAAGAAGGGATTCTGGGCATGAAACGACAACTCTCCCTTCTCTCCACAGATGCTTCCAAACCTGCTGAGCTTCTCTAGCAATTTCTGTTTTTGTTAAAGGCTTCTTCAAATCCATAATTTCTACCACCCACAAGAACAAGAGGGGCAGACACATTGATATGCAAGTTTGCCTCCAATTCACATCATCCCAGTTTAGGAATACATTACAACTCCTTCAATGTCAGTGAGTCAAAATCTTGGACCTCTCTTCCTAATAGCATTGTTGGAGTACCTTCACTAGATAGACTGAGGTGCCTCAAGAACGCACATAACCAACACCTTCTCAAGGTCAAACAGAGATGGGGGAAACTGAGTTCAATTACATGATCCATTATTTTCTCAGTTAAGTTTATTTAGCAACAATGGCCAGGAATCCATTAATTAACAATTAATTGTATCGACTACATTTCATTGTATTTTACGGCCTTAATCTATAATCTTTACTCTAGTTTGCTAAATTCATCTTTATTGCATTATTCAGGACTCTATCAGAAACACAGAATCATAGAAAATAGGAGGAGTAGGCTAGTTGGCCCTTAAGCCTGCTCTGCCATTCATTATGATCATGGCTGATCATCCAACTCAGTCCCATGTTCCCACTTTCTCCCATACCCTTTGATCCCTTTAGCCCTAAGAGTTATATCTAACACCTTTTGTAAAAATTCAGTGTTTTGACCTCAACCATGTTCTGTGGCAGAGAATTCCACAGGCTCACTACTTTCTTTCATATATATCCTAACTTTAAGTTTCTCCCGAAGCTTGTTAAGCTTAGATGAACACTCTCCACTCCTGAATTCAGGGAGTGTTATGCTGCATTCAATTTGCATTTCTGGTGGTGAGTTGCCGTCTTGAACTGCTGCTGTCCATGTACTGTAGGTAGATGGAAGATGCTGTTAGGGATGGATTTCCAGTATTTTGATCCAATGACACTGAAGGAATAGCAAAATATTGTCAAGTCAATTAATGAGTGACTTGGAGGGGAAATGCAAGTTGTGCTGTTCCCATTTATCTTGCATTGATATATACTTGAGACAATTTCACTTTGATACATAGGCTGGAATATAATGCCAGCAATGTGAGTCATTACCACACCCCCAACCATGCCGCTATTTGGAGATATTGTCTTCTTCAGTGGTACAGTTAAAACAGGGGAAAGAACTGCTGAAGTTCCTGCAGTGTATTATGTAGATGATACACAGCAGCATCATGACATGCCGTGATGGGGGAGTTGCTTGAATCTTCTTGGGTTCTTGAGCCTTGGAGATAATGGAACAAGTCATTCATCATGAAATGCCCTACTTCTGCTTTTGCAGCAGCCTCTAGTTAAGTTTCTAGCCAGTAGTTATGCCCAAAACAGGCTAAT